TCTCACCTGTCCATCTCACCTGTCCAGGTGGGTGGGGATGTCCCAGAGACCAATTACCTGTTCATGGGCGACTTCGTGGACCGCGGCTTCTACAGCGTGGAGACCTTCCTGCTGCTGCTGGCGCTGAAGGTGAGACAGGTGGGACACACCTGGACAGGTGAGACACCTGGGACAGTGGGACACACCTGGGACAGTGTGACACACCTGGGACAGTGTGACACACCTGGGACAGTGTGACACGGGTGTGACACGGGTGTGACACACCTGGGACAGGTGTGAGACCTTCCTGCTGCTGCTGGCACTGAAGGTGAGACGGGTGGGACACACCTGGACAGGTGAGACACGGGTGTGACACACCTGGGACACGTGTGAGACCTTCCTGCTGCTGCTGGCGCTGAAGGTGAGACAGGTGGGACACACCTGGACAGGTGTGACACAGGTGTGACACAGGTGTGACACTGCTGTGACACAGGTGATACAGGTGTGACACGTGTGACAGGTGTGACACAGGTGTGACACAGGTGTGACACGTGTGACAGGTGTGACACAGGTGTGTCAGAGGCGTGTCACAGGCATGTTACGTGTGCACGTTTCTGTTATACCTGGTACAGGTGTGACCGGGCGTGTCCCACCCGTGTCCCCTGTCACACACATGTCACACACATCACACACGTGTCACACCCGTGTCACACCCATGTCACACACGTGTCACACACGTGTCACATGTGTCACACACATGTCACACATGTCACACCTCTGTCACACACATGTCACACACATGTCACACACGTTTCACACACGTCACACACATGTCACACCTCTGTCACACACATGTCACACACATGTCACACACGTGTCACACACGTGTCACACACATGTCACACACATGTCACACGCATGTCACACGCATGTCACAGGTGCGGTACCCAGACCGGATCACGCTGATCCGCGGGAACCACGAGTCCCGGCAGATCACGCAGGTGTGTCCTGTCACACACATGTCACACACGTGTCACACACATGTCACACGTGTTCAGGTGCGGTACCCGGACCGGATCACGCTGATCCGCGGGAACCACGAGTCCCGGCAGATCACGCAGGTGTGCCCTGTCACACCCATGTCACACACATGTCACACACATGTCACACCCGTGTCACACACATGTCACACACATGTCACACACATGTCACACAGGTGCGGTACCCGGACCGGATCACGCTGATCCGCGGGAACCACGAGTCCCGGCAGATCACGCAGGTGTG